TTCTTCTTCTTCTTCTTCTTCTTCTTCTTCTTCTTCTTCTTCTTCTTCTTCTTCTTCTTCTTCGTCGTCGTCGTCGTCGTCGTCGTCGTCGTCGTCGTCGTCGTCGTCGTCGTCGTCGTCGTCGTCGTCGTCGCCGTCGTCGCCGCCGTCACCTCGCCTTCTTCTACATCATCTCATTTTCCTCCTCCTCCTCTTCTTCTTCTTCTTCTTCTTCTTCTTCTTCTTCTTCTTCTTCTTCTTCTTCTTCTTCTTCTTCTTCTTCTTCTCGTCGTCGTCGTCGTCGTCGTCGTCGTCGCCTCGTCCTCCTCCTCCGCCTCCTCAAACTCCTCCTCCGACTCCACCTCTGTCGTCTGCTCCTCGTCCTCCTCCTCTCCCTCCATCGTCTCCTTTTCCTCCTCCTCCTCCTCCTCTTCTTCTTCTTCTTCTTCTTCTTCTTCTTCTTCTTCTTCTTCTTCTTCTTCTTCTTCTCCTTCTTCTTCTTCTTCTTCGTCGTCGCCTTGTCCTCTTCCTCCTCCTCCTCCAACTCCTCTTCTTCTTCTTCTTCTTCTTCTTCTTCTTCTTCTTCTTCTTCTTCTTCTTCTTCTTCTTCTTCTTCTTCTTCTTCGTCACCTCCTCCTCCTCCTCCTCCTCCAAGTCCTCCGAGTCCACCTCCGTCGGCTGCTCCTCGTCCTCCTCCTCTCCCTCCATCGTCTCCTCCTCCCCTTCCTCCTCCTCCCCCTCCTCCTCCTCCTCCATCGCGCCATCCTCCTATTCCGCCATCTCCGACTCATCGTCCTCGACGTCAGAACCATCCTCCGCCTCCATCATTTTGTCCTCCTCCACCTCCATCGCCACCTCCTCCTCCTCCTCCTCCTCCTCGTCCTTCTCCTCCCCCTCCTCCTCTACCTCCTCCGTCGCCGTTCCTCGTTGTCCTTTTTCTCCTACTCCCTCTTCTTTTCTTTTCTTTTTCTCCTTCTTCTTCATCTTCTTCTCCTTCTTCTCCTACTTCCTCTTCTTTTCCTTCTTCCTTCCCGTCCGCCATCGGCGCTTGACACGTGTACGCCCGCTCCCCACGGCTCCCGCAAGCTCCCCCTCTCTTCGCCGACCCGTTTTGCCGGACTGCGTCCCGCCCGCCTGTGCCCCAGTCTCATACGTTGCCCCTTGTGTCCCGCCTGCCACTTCGCCAGCCCGCGGGTTTCACACCCGCCATAGCGCAATCAATCAATCAATCAATCAATCAATCAATCAATCAATCAATCAATCAATCAATCAATCAATCAATCAATCAATCAATCTATCTATCTATCAATCAACCAATCAATCATTCAATAAATACGTAAATGGATGACGGATCTTGAAACAAGGATCCGTCGAAACCGACGGATCCATTCACATATTTATTGAATGGTTGATTGGTTGATTGATAGATTGATTGATTGATTGATTGATTGATTGATTGATTGATTGACTAATTGATTGATTGATTCATTCATTCATTCATTCATTCATTCATTCATTCATAGATAGATATGACGGATCTTGAAACAAGGATCCATCGAAACTGACGGATCCATTCACGTATTGATTGAATGGTTGATTGCTTGATTGATAGATTGATTGATTGATTGATTGATTGATTGAATACTTCCTTCATTCGTTTTTCTTATTATTCTTTTTTTTTTTCCCTTTTCTTTTTCTTTTTCTTCTTCATCTTCTTCTCCTTCATATCTTTTCTTCTTCCTTCCCGTCCGCCTTCCCCTCTTGACACATGCACGTCCGCCTTCCCCTCCTTACACATGCATACCCGCCCACGTCTGGCCCGCCTAATTGATTGATAGAATTGATCCGTCCGTATCGACGGGTCATTAGTTTCAAGATACGTCGACATCGACGGATCTTGAACGACGTATCTTGAAACTAACGATCCGTCGATACGGACGGATAGATTCATTTAATGATTAGTTAATTATTTTATTGATTGATTGAATTTGTTTGGTTTAATTGATTGATTGCGGATGGAGGCAAGCGGATGTGTGTGTGTGTGTGTGTGTGTGTGTGTGTGTGTGTGTGTGTGTGTGTGTGTGTGTGTTGTACTGCACATATGTGTGTGGATGTGGGTGTATGGACATGCAGCAAGTGTTGCAGATGCATCAGTACATGCAACACCAGCTGCATCCGCCTACTCCATCACCCCCCCCTTCCATACACCCCACACCACCCCCCCAAACCCCCCCCATCCCCAAAAATATTTTTTTTCCCATAAATGCTTCAAATCACCCCAAACTTTTTGGGGGGGGATCTCGCAGTCTTGCGCAAGAACATCTCAATTTTTATTTTATTTTATTTTTTTTAATGCAAAAAAGTGGTTGTCCGGGATCCTGGACAACCCCCCTACCGGACGGTTGGGGGAGACGTCCGACCGAGACGTCCGGCCATCGGACGACTAGTAACCTAGATTTTTTTAATTTTATTTTTCACCTACAAACCCCACCTCCAAAAAGGTCTTTTTTTTTATATTTTGCTTGCTATGGCGTGGGGTTGGGGTTCCGGAACCCCAATCCGCAACTCCCTCCCCCGGACCCCCCCCCCTCTAGCCGGAACGTGGCCGTGAAAGTGGTGACCGTCGCGGTCATGACCGGGAGCCGCAGTCACGACCTCGGTCGACTGGTGATCGGGGGTTTTCATAGCCTTAGATTGAGGTATACCATTCAGGATTTGAACTCATGATCTGTTTGCAACAGTCACAGGTGTGTGTAACGACCAGCCACCGGAAAGTTACACCTGCTGTTGGGACTTCTTTTTGTTTTGTTTTGTGGACCCCCATGCAAGGATTCAGGATGTCGTGAGCCCGTAAAAGGGCCCCACCAACCCCAAGTGAGGGTGGGCCTGCAAAAATGCGGTTGGGCCTCAGTACAGGGCAATATGCGCAGAATGGGGGGTCAGGGCGGTTACAGCGCCAGCAGCATCTTTGCAGCATCTCCAAGTAACTGGTACGTCCATTTAGTTGGAGATGCTGGGCATGCTGGGTATGGGTGCAGATTCTACAAGCACCCAGGGCGTAGGAAACCGGAATAGGGCGCAGCTTGGGGAAGGACCCCTCGGCCTTTCCTGCCAGCACAAAAGACTGGAGGGCACCCTGCTCCAGAGAATGTCATTCAGGCAGTCCGGTAATGCGCCAGCGCTGCTCGAGCAGTTGATTAGCGCATGAGCCCGAGGAGGAAGCTGAGTGGTGGCAGCGAGGTGGAAGAAGGAGATAGGCAGCCATAGCCAGGATGCTTGCTCCATATAGACTCGGAACTTTCTAGAACTACGAATCGGAGTGCAGGGATCTGTACGAGGGACTAGAGTCGACAAACTTAACAATTGAGAGATTGGTTACGAGGAGTGGTGAATGCATAACACCCTAGGAATGTTCGTCTTCCAGAGACTCCTCAAATGACTTCTGGACCAAAAACATAATCCGTGAAGGTTGGGGCAGCATCGGAAGGTTGCTAAGATGAAGATGAAGAGAATCAAAATGAGCATCACGAGCGGAAAAACATCATCGGTGAAGGTTGGGGCAGCATCGGAAGGTTATACACCCGAGTGGATGCTAGTGGTACTGTTAAGAGCAGGCACCCCTATCATTCTCGGGAGGCTCCATCGATTGGTGGGGAGCGACACCTACAGGAAAACGTGTCCAGCATCCCTAAGCATTGTCATTATTCTTGGTACACACGGTACAATTTCTCTCTTGTAGGGCTGCCTATTATAGATCATGGCATACCCAGAACCTACCAAAGCAAATTTACGGTGTGAATAACATACAATTTCATCCCCTGTTGAGCACTGCTGAGCAGGGGCAGGGGGTAGACCAGGGTAGGACTGCCGCTGCTAGAGGCCCAGGGGGCACCGGGACCCTGGCATTACAGTCCTCCCCTCCCATTTTTCCTTGAGAGTTGTTGAGAATGGTGCTGGAGTGATGCTTCTGAATAAGCTCGAGCAATGCCCTGATGATGTTCCGTTGCAGCCCGGATGAAGCATTGATGACGCTCATACCAGTTTTTCCGCCAGCGCTAGGGGGTGGGGGAATGGATCTGCAAACTCTTGGGCCGATCTCAACGGCTCCCCAAAGTCTATTACTTCCGTGACTTCCGCTTCCTCCACCATGGCTCCTTCCATCTACAAAATACTTCTCCTCCACGATATCACCCAGAGGATGGAACGCCTTCCTAAACAGAACATATTCTCCTCAAAGGCACTTTCTTGGCCGCCAGGCTGGTGTCCAAACAGAATGGTTTTCCAGTCCCACGGCCATAACGAATTGGAGACCATGTGCCGCCAACTCCTACCCCACCACCGCCATAATAGTATGGTTGAGGGGCACTGCAAGAAGATATGCTCCACCCTCTCAGAGCGCCTTTGTGCTGGAAAAACCTGCAGACATCATCGGTACCATGGCAGCGCACGCCCTTGTTGTTCTAACTGTGTGTGATCAATTAACCAATCGTTTTTTGGTAGGCACCAGTGGGCTATCTGCCACAGCCGATAGGAGATTTTGGCGGTCTCAACTTGTATTCCCTAAACCATTTTATAGGTCTTAGTTGTTTGATATTCTCATTGAGGTGGCGCTGCCACGTGTCCTCCACCACATTCAGGAGCTTCTGTTGGGGTCTTAAAATTCGATATGTCATTTTTGTCTTTAGATTGCCCAGCAACACCGACTTTTGTCTCCCCTGTTCCCTTGGGGCGGCTTGACTCATCCTGACCACCGCCACCTCTCGGGGTCAAAGGGAAGGTTCTCAATTGGGGTCATGGGTTTGTACACTCTCCAACCTTTCCCTTTGTCCAATACCCTGATCCGATACACCTCCCTCTTACTTCTCCAGACAAACGGTTGTCTACTACCCATTAGCCAACCGTTCCTGCCAATGGAGAAGTGCTCAATCAACACTTTCTCTTGCCCCACCATTTGTACACGTCCCACCTGCTCCTGTTGGCCCGGCAATCACACCCAGCTCTTTCCTCTGGGTGCGGGTCCCTCCGGAGGATGGTATACCATGCAAGGGGGGATATCTATTAACTCTTCCAATGTAGACTCCGTCAGGTGGCAATATTGCAGCCACTTCCACAACCTTTCCGCGCTCGTTCGATTCCTGGTTTCTATATACCAAAGAAGGGTTGTCTCTTACATCCTTTCCAAGGGGATTCCGAGTTGCACCTCACTCGGTCGAGGTGGTCTGTGATTCATTTGTTACCAGGCAAGGGTTGTCTAATTACTTCTTCCCACCTGTCCGGTGTTGGCCTATCGGGGATTAGGAGTTTCCTCCACGTCCGCAGGAGGCGTGACCAGTGCTCATCTACTGGGTCTCTGTTTCTATACCTATGTGGGATCTTCCAATATCTATCCTCTAGCCAAACTAGAGGATCAATTTCCAGTGGGGTCTTTAGGGCTGAGGCCGCAATTTGCGCCAAAGCTATGGGGGTCCAAGGGGAGGCATACGAGAATATAAGACATTTTATCCATTCTAGACTGAGGGCTTGGAATTGTGTAGAGGGGTCGATAATCCTCAACCCTCCTTCGGCCTTGGGCAAGGTCACTGAATCCCACGTCACCCTGCTGATGGCATGGGAATTCTCATGGTCCCCTCTCCACAGAGGCGCCGCCAGCTTCCGCTTGAGAGCTTTAAGTCCTGCTGTACTCACCAGCCACAAAACGGCTTTGTACCAAAGGGTGGCCAGTACCACGTTGTTGATGACTGAAGCCCGCTCAAAGAGCGACGTATGCTTCTTGTCCCATCCATTTAATTTAGTCTGCGACGGGCCAACTATCCAATTGTCGTTCATGTCGGGCTTTCCCTTTGCCGTAACCGACCCCCCCAAAATCCTAAGGGGTGCATCTGAAGGTAGCCAGGTGATTCGCGGGTTTTCGGGGGGTCTTCCCCCTTAATGGTGCAACCACCAGCCCACAGTTTTTTGTCCCCAATTCACAGTCATATCTGAGAGTCTGCAAAAACATGTCGTACGTGCTCGAATTTCCTCCATGTTCCGCATATTCGTCTCCACCATAATGGTAAGGTCATCTGCAAACAAGGAGTAGATCGCCACAGCCTCCTTCGGTAT